GCAGCAAACAGAATACAACACTCTGCTCCATCTCTTAACATCACTTCAGCCTGGCTGGCTGACTTCAACAATTCATCATCCCCCTAAGGGACAAACCAATTCCCTATTGGCACAATCTATAAGAATGTGATTGGCAGATAACCAATCCATGCCTAAGATTATGTCAATATCCACTAAAGGCAAACAGATCAAGTTCACCTTATGCTTCCTATCACACATCTCCAAGGGAAAACCAACACACATCTCAGAGGCAACAACAAAAACAGAAGCGAGTGTAGACACAAGCAATCTCAACCCCAAATTGCATACAGGAAAACCCAACTTTTTAGCACATGCATAAGAAATAAATAAATAAATAAATTGAGGTCCTGAGTCAAATAATATCATCACATCCTTACCAGTAACTTTACCCTTCCCCTTCACTAGATTAGATGAAGTGGAGGCTTCAGCTCCAGTCAAGGAAAACACCCTCCCAGCTGTAGTAGATTTATCACCCCTCGGGACACTCCTGGTCTATCGGGCATCTAGAGGACAACTAGTCGACACGTGACCCATCTGGCCACACCTAAAGCACTTGCTCTCGGTATGAGGGCAATCACGAATGAAGTGAGGTCCACCGCATCTATAACATCTGACAGTAGCAACTTCACTCTGACCCTCACTCCTAGCTGTGTCAATAAGTTTCCTTGTGACAGGACCCCCTTGCTGTGATTGGGGCCTATCATAAGGTTTCCTCTGAGCACCACCACCACTCTTGGACCCAGCTGGCCCACCAACAGCCTTCGCCGGCTTGCCGACGCTCTCTAGCCGCTCCACAACCTTCGCCTTCTCTACCAAGGCTGGAAACTCTGTGATGGCCATAGGCACCACCACTCTCCTCAAATCATACTTCAAGCCTTCAGCAAACTTCCTACACTTCCAAGCCTCAGAGATGGCTTGGGTGTAGAAGCGTGCCAAATGCTCGAATCTCATGGCGTACTCGGTTACCGACATTCCCCCTATTGTAATCTCATAAACTCTGCCTCCCGAGCATGCCTAACACTCTCTGGGAAGTACTTCTCGAGGAAGGCCCTCTTGAAGCACACCCAGCCCACAACCACTCCACGGTCAATTATCATCTGACTAGTACCTCTCCACCAATGCTCTGCCTCTCCTGTCAACATATACACTGCATAGGCAAGCTTTCGCTCCTCTGAACAACCTAAAACTGAGAATATTTTCTCCAACTCGCAAATCCAGTGATCAGCCACATCTTGATCTGCATCACCTCTAAACTGAGGAGGACTACAATTCCTGAACTCAGCCATATCCCTGCTCGCATGAGACCCAGTAGATCCTGCTGCACCAGCTGCAGCTCTCTCAGCATCCACCCTAGCAAAATGTGCAGTCTGCTGCTGCATCGCCATGGCCATCATCTCCATGGCCTTGGCTATCTGATCATACTGTGGCCTCACCATACTACAAGAATTTAAACATCTTATTAGTAACATGATACCACCATATATCACCAAAACTAACACATATCAGAGATATGTCACAACAGAAACCTAGAAGGATCACTCCCCACAGAGTATCCAAAAGACTCGGCCGGCTTTGATACCATAAAAGTGTAATAACCCGCCGTGACCGTCACACTACAGAACAACACTACATACTACTCGAAAATATATTAAAATAGCAAAATAAATATTTACAACACAAGTTGCTAATCAAGCAACAAACAACTAGTTGTATATAAGAAGGCCTGCTACTATAAGGTAGCCTAAAAAAAAATCCATGTTTAGGCACCTCATGTGGCCTCTAACAGCTATCTCCCAGCCTATCCCTACCCTGCTACCATACCACGTATGATCATCGCAGTCCAAACCACATGGAGACAAGGGTAAACTAGAGACAATAAATAACTCATAATAATTTAATATTCAACATAACAACTATATAATCATCTTCGCATTCGACACCTGAGACAAACAACATATATATATACTATACATCTTAACATTCATTTCAACTTACAACATAACAACACTATCATCGTTCTCAACAAGGTCAACATACAACACACTCACAGCTTAATAACACAACAACAAATATACAACTCATATCAACAACAAATCAACTCATCAACAACTTATACGTCGTCACGCATTTCGACTCGGAGATCTCCTACAACATGGTAAGTAGTCTAAGTGGCTAGGTCCTACTGAACCGACAATACAACAAATTTGGATATCAATCTACAACACGATAATGGTTTCTCAGACTTTGCCACTTAAACAAGGAAGTATAGTACTCGGTTAGGAACTAAGTTCCCGACTTCGTACTTTACTCAAATTGACCACTTGTAATCGGTATAGGTCGACCTGACCCCTATACCATGGTCGCTTTGTAATCGGTATAGCTCGACCTTGCCCCTATACCGTGGTCGCTTTATAATCGGTATAGCTCAACCTTGCCCCTATACCGTGGTCGCTTTATACACGTGTGCCTCGACCTTGCCCACACACGAGATCAACTAAGTCCTAGAGGAGAACAACACAACGACCACTCCAAGGGACAACTTCCCAAGGAGGGTTTTTAAAAAAATTGGGCTCTCAGAGCACCACAACTATCTCAATCCACACAATGGGATGAACAACTTCGAAAACATCTCCCCTAGTCCTAGTGATCAACAACTTATCATCACAGCTTAATCAGCTTACAAATCAACAACACAGATTAGCTCAACAACTTACACAACACACAACTTTTCAACTCATCATCTCAATCAACTTTTAACTTGAACAACACAATCAACTCACAACTTTAACAACACAATTTATCAGCACAACAACTCATCAACGCTATTTAACAACACATTTTAACCACACAACCTCTCATTTCAACTTTAAACAACACAATCAACTCAACAACTTAATAGCTCAACTCATAATTTACAACTCAATTATTCTAAGATAATATATTTTCAACACATGGCACAACATACAACTTTTTAGTAACATACAACTATCCTCTAACAACTTGACAACATAGTCTAATAATAACATCTCATCATATTTCACAACATAAACATGTCCACACATATAGCAACCTTATCAACTTAATTTCAACAATATCAAAAATCAACACACAACTTGTAAACAACTTCACAACTTAACTACAACATGCATCTCATTTACATCCCATTTTCATCATGAAAGCATCACCAACAACATCATTAACAAATATTTAATCATATATTAGCAACACACAATATTTTCATCACATAACACAACTCATACTAATCAACCTAAGCACCCAAATTTGTTCTCAACTCACATACAACCAACAAATTTACAATCTAGCTTCCCTTACCTGAAGATTGGCTCAAAATAGCCAAGAAGCGGAATTCCCTTTCCGAAGCTCAACCCGGAACTTCAATCCACCCAAAGCAAGCTTCTTAATTTAGAGTTCTTCTCTCTAAAAACCTCTTCTTCTCCTCAACCACCCAACTCTATTTATTGAAGTTCAGGAGTGGCCAGAACGGCCTATTCCGAATCCAGAACGGCCCGTTCTGCACCCCTTTATCATGTGTAAAAATCACATGCAGAACGACTCGTTCTAAAATCAGAATGGCCCGTTCTGGGACTCATTCAGAATAGCCTGTTCTCCAACCAGAACGACTCGTACTCCCTCCAAAACGCCCCATACTCCATCCAGAACGGCCCGTTTTAGGGTCTGAAACGCTTCGTTCTCAACTACATATTATAGGTAAATTCAGTAGTTTGGAACGGCCCGTTCTAGTTTAGGAACGACCCGTTCTGGACTACTGAATCACCCATACTGAGCTTTTGGACCTTCTAAAATAATTTACTACGTTACAATAAATATAAAAAAGGTTAAATATTATATATCAAAAACTCGCACGTTTTTTGTCATAAAGTAATAATGCTAATCATGTAAAATATGAAAACTAGTTAGATGAAATATAATATATTTTTATATTTATTCATTTCAACTATCGAAACTATTTTTAATTCTCAATTCAATCTTTCTCCTCTTTCTCTCTCTCTCTATATATATAAACACACAAGATATTCTCTTACTTTAAAAATAAGTCTATTTAGACCTATTCTACTTAATAATTTATATTTTATATTAAATTATAATAATTTAGTTATTAAATTAAAATTTTTTAATGAATAAATTAAATCTGTAAAACTTAAAAATTATTTAATACTATAATATTAATTTAAATAAATGAATAATCAAACAAATAATTTATACGTTGATTTAAATTAATAAATAAAATATCAAATAATTTTTAATTATTTTAAAATTTACAAATTTAATCTAAATTCAAGTATTTTTAATTGGCATTCCGTTGTCAATTTCTACTCGGTACGTGTTTATCTTTATGTTTCATTCAATGGAATGTGAATTCATCCTCCTTCTTACTTCTACATTTCTACATTGAAAAATGGAAAAATTAAACTCTGTTAAACGGTGTTCAAGCCATAAATCAAACAGACTCTTAATAGTGTTGCTGAAGAGCAAAGAAGGAGAATGAGGAAGTAAAAAAATTATAATGTAGAGGGTGCATTGTATTATCATAGGTATTAGATGCATCTTACGGTTGTTAAACATGGTGCACCAAACATAGGCCTAATTTTAATTTTTAACGCGGTCGTCTTGTGAACAACTGAACAGGAATATAATAGTAAACGCAAGTTGAACCAAATATTTCTTCAAAATAAATAAATACCACTTTTCTTTTATTTTTCCAAAATACTAATTTACGATTAATTTGGATCGTTAAAATGCATATCACTTTCCTTATAAAAGGCATCACTGTCATTTTCTAAGCCAACCAAAAATAGAGAACACTCGAAAAATTTCCAATCTCTAAAACCAAAGACCGTGTGTTACGTTACGTGGCTCACATATAAATAAGTAAATAAAATATTTAAAAAAAAAAGTTCTCCACCTTGGCTGTGTCTGCAAACACTAAAAACACACACACCACAAGCACTTCACACAGTTCGTATTCATAGTGTTCACACCACAACCACCACCACCTCCAATTTCTCTCTCTAACTTTCTCTCTCTAGAACAGAGGAAAAGAGAAGCACATTTCCGCCATGGACGCAGCATCGCAGCTCGTCTACTGCGGAATCGATTCCTTCAATCGCTCCTCTCCTTCCCTGCGCCGCCGCCACACCCTCCTCAACCTCCGCCGCCGCTCTAGCCGCGTTTTCGCAGTCTCTGCCGAGCCGAAACCCGCGTCGCCGAAAACCGTCAACGGAGTGAAATCGAGGTCGCCGCCGAGCAGAACCGTCAACGGCGTCTCCACGGTAACTTCTCTGATCCTGGTTTTGCAGAATACGGGGAATTCATATTCAATTGGTTAATGTTTAATTGACGGAAGCATAGTCTCGCGTGTTGTTTTTGTTGTTTGTGTTGATGGCAGAGAATTGGAGATGTTTCGAAGGAGATTAAGAGAGTGAGGGCGCAAATGGAAGAGGACGAACAGTTAGCGTCGCTCATGAGAGGTCTTCGAGGGCAGAATTTGAAGGACTCGCTCTTCGCCGAGGACGATGTTGAACTTCGCCTCGTTGAGGTGTTGAATTGAACTTTTCCCGAATTAATATTCTTTTTTTTTTTCTCTCTCTAACTTTCTATGAATTCCATAAGATATTTTAACTTTTAAGTTTACGTGGGTTTTATTTATCACGCATGAATATTATTCATTAAATTTAAGATAAAATAATTCTTACAATCATAGCTTTGGAAGGGGGACATAGCTAGGTAAGTCCTTTTATTTCTATAATCTGTCTTCCTCATGTTTAAATAAAATGCATAGCATTAAACTTGAAGTTTAAATATATTTTTAATTTTCAAAAGCATGGTATTTTCCTTTTCTTTCATTTCCTATAAAAGTTTTATATGTATTTGTTTTTCGCATAAGTAAAAATAACGTAATTTTATTTCTCTACCTTAGACTAATGACAATTTTTTCAGAATTTGAAGAAATGATTTTTTTTATATAAAATTTAAAGTAGATTGAAAATTGCTTAATAGTTTGAATTTGTTTTGCATGAAAAGTGACTAAAACTTTAAATCATTTATATGGTATCATTGTACAATGTCAAAATTATCTTGGTATACTTTTGAAGTAAATATTATAAAAACTAATAAATTTTACCCACATAACAGGTTGCGAATAGATTAGATTATAAAAAACTTTTATACAGATAGTATTTATACTATTTTCTTTAGGAAGTAAACTGGTTTGAACTTCATTTTGTAAAACATTTTTCCGTGACATAGCATTTCTATGGAGAAAAGTCGTATTTTTAGGGGACAAAATCATCATCATCATCATAATGATAATTATTATTATTATATTATAATTATAATTACAATTATTCAGGTTGATTGATAATTTTCAATGGGAAATAACTAGATGAGGACTGTAACAGAGATTGGTCATTTGTAATGATGTAGGTAGATGAGAGTAGTGAGTTTTTGCCTTTGGTGTATGATCCTGCAAGCATTTCTGCGTATTGGGGAAAACGTCCACGTGCGGTTGCAACTCGCATTGTGCAGTTGTTATCTGTTGCTGGAGGCTTTCTTTCGGGTATAGCGTGGGATGTCATTAACAAGAAGGTTAAAGAGGTAATTCTTCAATATCCTGAGGGATTGAAATAGCTTACCTTAATACCTGTGTTTTTAAGCTGGCGGTTGCTGTTGCTCTTTTTTCCGCCTTTGTCTGCATTCTGATTCTTGTGTTTTCTGAGTTCCTCTGCTTTGGATTGGAGGAATTCTTATAATTATAAGTTAAAAAGAAGCATAATATTGTTTTTTAGAGCTTTTTTCCCCCTGTGGAATCTACTATTTTTAGCTTCTAAGAAAGCATTAAAATATTTATTTATGTTTTTTTGAAGAATTTATGTGATTACTAAAAATCTGTAAACATTTTATTAATTAAAATATTTTGTTATTTAAAAAAAAAAAACAAACTAGCCCTAAGTCAAGCACACTGGGGAATTAGTTTTTATTTTTATTTTTTTGACAGAAAGAGAAGTTTCATGATAAGAAATCATCCAAAGTAAAGGATCTAAAAACAAGAATCAAAAAAGAAAAAAAAAAGTGTTAATATATGTGAAGTTTTCTAGTTTCTGAATAGGTGATAATCTCTAATAAAATTATTCTATACAGAATGTATACTTATAATTTATAAATATATTCAATAAAAATATGGAAAGGCTTTTCTAGAGTTAGCTACATGGATAAATAACGCTCTAATGTCTTATCATAAATCATGTCTAATCTCTTTGTATACAGTAAATATATAAATTAACTATGTTACAATATTATTTATAAATCATGTAAATAATACTTTAAAAGATTTTGTTATGTGTTTAAATAATGAATAACTGCGGCTGTAGACAGAAGTGTTCTAGTTCTGTATTGACGAGCTGTCTTGAGCTTGTGTTTGGATAAATATTTATTATTTAGACTTCTTCGTAAATAGTACCAGTTTCTTTATATTTCGTAGTCTTTGTTCAAAAATGCAATAATTGATCTTACGTTTTGGTTATTCTTTTGTCCTTTTCCCATAACCAGAATGAAGTTGCTAGGGCAATTGAGTTACGTGAAATAGTAACATCTTTGGGTCCAGCGTACATAAAACTTGGGCAAGCATTGAGCATTCGACCTGATATACTGTCACCTGTAGCAATGACGGAGCTGCAGAAGCTTTGTGATAAAGTAAGATTGTTGCTCCTTAACCTTTTCCTTTTTCTCTTCTTCACATGTCATTGTTTCTATTTTAAAGTAAGTCTAAATTGTCATAATAGCTTGTCATTGGGAGATTAATGAGCCATAGATATATTTTTTTTTAACAATTTGATTTGTTACACAAACGTGATTTATTTTTACTGTCAATTTGAGCAGCTTAAAAGCAAAATACGTATTTTTCATTTCAGAAAAATGAAACATAGTTGGACTGACAGCATATTTAATATTTACGTTCTAATTTCTGAAATAACTTACCAGTTGCCATATTATTTCTGTTAGCTTTTTCATTAGGTAGAACCAAGATCCCAACATATGAGAATTATAGTCTGAGTATCGTAAATATTGAAAATTATTAGCAATCACACAATTACATTTTGATTTCTGATATTGTTAGTTATTCCTTTTCTTTTGCTGAGATTCTTTTGTTCTTGATGGGGGTGTGGGGGGGATACCGTAAAATGTGAAGGTTCCTTCATTTGCAGATGATGTGGCTATGGCTCTAATTGAGGAGGAGCTTGGACAGCCATGGCAAAACATCTATTCTGAACTATCACCTTCTCCAATTGCTGCTGGTAGCTCTCCAGACAACCAGTTAGATATATTACTTTCTTAGTAGAAAAGTACAGTCTCTCGGAGCTGGTTTTTTATGTTAATTAATCAACAGGTATTTATCTTTCTGTGAAACCTATGCAGCATCTCTTGGACAGGTATATAAGGGCCGCCTAAAGGAAAATGGGGATTTGGTGGCTGTCAAAGTGCAAAGGCCTTTTGTTCTTGAGACAGTTACAATTGACTTATTCATTATTAGGAACCTTGGTTTGGTTCTTCGAAAGTTTCCTCAGGCAAGTTAAATTCTTGTGAGCAGAGACTTAAAGTCATATCTGTTTATTTATTTCATAAAAATGACAGTTAGTGGCAGAAATTTGGTGATACTAAATTAATCAATCATTATGTATGTCCTTTTCTCAACCGAACCACTTTTTACCTAATATTTTGCAGGTCTCTATTGATGTGGTTGGGTTAGTTGATGAGTGGGCTGCTCGGTTTTTTGAGGAGTTAGACTATGTGAATGAAGGTGAAAATGGAAACCGTTTTGCTGAAATGATGAGGAAAGACCTACCACAGGCAAGTCTGTTAATTTTTAATTTTTTTCTTTTTTACCACTTTTAAATTTTAATCACATATAAATCATGCATGGTTTATTCAACCCCAATATATTATGGTGAATTGGATGGTGGTAGTGTTAGGAGATGTAACCATTCACTTTGCAAGGCTTGTACATTACTTCAAAAATCTTAATATAACCTGCTGCACTCCAAAGGATATTTCACATAATATTTGAAATCCCTGAGCAACTCCTACTTAAGCTCAGAAAAGGGAGAATAAAGGTAGGTAATTTAGATGGATGACCTTTAAAATGATTAATTTGACTTAATGGCTGAAAAATAATGACCCTTCTAACAATCTAAAGTTTTTGTAAGTTACACCAGAGAAAAAACACTAGAAGTCAGTTGCCTCCCACAGGGGGACTTAAGAGCACAAAAAGTATATTCAAAATCTTCCCAATTTGGCAAAACTAGACTGCATGAGCTGAATATTCACGCTGCTTCTTCTAAAATCTTTTTCTTTTGATTTGACTATTTCCAGGTTAAGTTGTCATTATCAAAAAAACAAAAAATTGACAAAACAATTTTACGGTGTCTATGAATACTTGATAGGGGAGAATAATTATTTATTTGTCATTTTTTTCTTCAGCATTTTTGGATTGGTTATGGATGTAGATGTAGCTACTCAAATTTATAGTGGAACAATTATTTGTGGGTTTGTACTTTTTAGAAGGTAGAAAATACTGATAAAAATTCATTCACATTGTATGTGCACTCTAAATGAAGTGGCGTTTTTATTTGATGCCAGAAATATTAAAAGCAAAGAAACAAGGCTGAGTTTTATCATGATGGAATTATATTGCTTTTTATGAGGGCTCAATATCTACTGATGGCCAAGGCACTGGTTGTATATGCCTATTGCCTATTGCCTAATGACTAAATATTCAGACTGCGAAATATTCTGGCCATTAAGTTACAAATTTATTGTGAACGTGTTACATCCTCTCACCAACCATCAGTATCTGCAAATATCGTTTGATGACATTTGAAGAAACAAGTTAATTAAAATTTGTCTGGACAACATGCTTGTCAAAACTTTATTTATTATCTCTTAAAATTGTTCCCACATGATAAGAGTGGTCATGTATAAAACTTTCTTGCATCTTTTGACAGTTTTAATTTCAGGTTGTCATACCAAGAACCTACCATAAGTATACATCAAGGAGGGTTCTTACAACAGAATGGATTGATGGAGAAAAGCTGTCACAGAGCACAGAAAGTGATGTTGGTGAACTGGTTAATGTTGGAGTCATCTGCTATCTAAAACAGGTTATTTTGGTGCTTTCAGCAGGGATTGTGCATTAGAATCACTTAGCTTTCAGCTAGCATTTTTTGAAATGCAGTCATTGGGTATCATCCATCTTATATGTCTGAGAGTTTTTCCTGACAATAAGATGTGTATATTGTATTGATTATAGTCATAGCAATTTGCAAGTTTGGCAGACAGTATAGTATTCCAAGAAAATATTGACATATAATCAGTAAATTCTGGCTAAACTATTTGATTTTCGTTTTGATTTATTTTCATTTTGTTTCAGCTTCTTGATACTGGATTTTTTCATGCTGATCCACACCCAGGGAATTTGATCCGCACTCCTGATGGAAAACTTGCCATACTTGACTTTGGTAAAAATCATTTTTGTCATGGTTGGAAGTGAAATATTGTCTATTTGTAGACTATTTTTTTTCTCTTGTGATTAGGAGAGACATAGATATAGCTTCTTCTGTTAATGTTAGGTTTACTGTCAGCAAATGAAATATTCTATATTTGTAGACTTTTTTTTTTTTTCACCATACACTCTAAATTATAAAACAAAATTGCTTTCATTAGTTAATGACGCAGTTTAACTAATAATGTGGTTCACCCAAAGCAATTTATTTTATAGGAAATTGAATTTGAGTTTACAAGATTATAGTTAGCTATACAGGAGTTGGAATCATGTCAAAATTTTCAGGTGTCCTTTGTGGCTTACCTTTAAACAATTAGACAAGTGTAATGCTTTATTTGCAACTGTGCCTGGATATATTTCTTCAGAGTGGTCCTGTTGACATGATCAACTATATTGCTTAGTTTAAATATTTCTGCTACATGATTCTAAGCATTGTGAATTTGTGATAAATGATGGAAGTTTTATGTTGCACACAGGGCTTGTTACAAAACTAACTGATGATCAAAAGTATGGGATGATTGAAGCAATTGCTCATCTTATCCATCGGGATTATCCAGCCATAGTAAAAGACTTTGTTAAACTTGATTTCATTCCAGATGGTGTCAATTTGGAGCCTATCTTGCCAGTTCTTGCCAAGGTTTTTGATCAGGCCTTAGAAGGTGGAGGGGCAAAAAACATCAATTTTCAGGAGCTGGCATCAGATTTGGCTCAAATTACCTTTGATTATCCTTTTAGGATACCCCCATACTTTGCCCTTATAATTAGAGCAATTGGAGTTCTGGAAGGGATAGCTTTAGTAGGAAATCCTGATTTTGCCATTGTTGATGAGGCCTATCCATATATTGCGCAGGTATAATAGACTCTGGGGTTTTTGGTTACCTGTTTCATTATTTAGATATTGGCTTATATTCTTTACCAGTGGGCACATGTTAGTGTTGATTTTTCTGCATAGCTCGTCACTGCTTATTTGCTTGAAAATTTGAGTTTTACTTGAAGCAGATAACATTATCCATTTGTTTTGATTTCTGTGAACATAATAATCATGAGCACAAAAGGGATAATCAGCAAGGTTTTATTGGGCTATCATGGTTAAATTGTATCATTCAATGGAAAAAGGAGTGAAGCCAATGGCATGTGGATTGGACGGAAAATTTTCTGTTTAGTGTCTGGAAATAAAGGGTGAACATTGTTTAAAATTTGAAGTGTTCCTGGTTTAGAAGAAGGCATGCAAGGTAGGAATAACAAACAATTTTTTACAGAATGCATGGGTGGGAAAAAAACTTATGAATTTCGAACACAATAAGTCTCAGATTTAGTTTTGAGAAGTATGACAAACTCTTCATTGAAATTTTCTACAACTATTATTCGTAACTAGTTTTGAATTGTTTTCACTTGGCACAAAAGAATGGATTTTGACTGTCTGGTTAGTTGTTTTGAACACCACCTTTATGATTTTGCACGACCACACTGGTAACTGGCTTCTGCTATTATATTACACTTCTTTGATTTGTCTGAGTAATCTGAACTGATATTCATCCTGTTCACTTATAGAGGCTCCTCACAGATGAATCTCCTCGGCTAAGGGATGCTCTACGCTACACTATATATGGGAAATCTGGAGTTTTTGATGCTGAAAGATTTATTGATGTCATGCAAGCCTTTGAGAATTTCATTACTGCAGCCAAAAGTGGTGGTGGAGAGGATATGAATGGGAATATGGCTGAGCTTGGGATTCTTACTACTAGTCAGTCAGAATATTTGTTGCCAGGATTCCAATCTGTTATGTCTCAACCACAGCAGCCAGTGCAAACAAGGGCAGCTTTAGCTTTCTTGCTGTCTGATAGGGGGAATTTTTTCCGAGAATTTCTTTTGGATGAGGTACTTTCTTGAAGCATTGAAGAAACTTTTATATTGCGATTGTTAGAATGTGGAAATATCTAAAAATATCTTAGTATAGATTATTCTCTAAGATTATTTACCATGTTTAACTGATCCTTCGAGTAGTTTGAATATATAGAAGTTTCAGAATTCAGCCTTTGAATATGTTTATCTACTAGCTATATGTGCGAAATACATGAATGAGTTGGTTCTTACATATCCTAGTTGAAATATATGCCTATCAAGAACAAAGGCATTTATTTATCCTACGTGGACACAGATTCTTGGAAAAAAACTAGAATATATTAAATATGTAAATATTTTGAAGATATTTAAATTGATTATGTAAATTTTATGCTTGCATAGTTAAATCTAATAAAGTGTTGCAAATTTGTTTTAAGAAATAGCAAAGATGTCCTCTTAATCCTGGGATTACTAATGTTAGTTATATTTAACTTCTATGCTTGGCCAGTAGAAGTTATATCTCGTGAGTGCAGATTAATCTGCTTTGGGACATTGCATGAACCATGTCTATACACAAAGAAAAACAAAAACTATAATTAACTTCTGTGGTAAAATTTCGAAATGTGGCAATTACGATAACAAAAGCAGAACAAATTAATTGGTGTCTAAATGACTACCTGAACTCAGAAAAGTGCCATGGAACTAGAAAAAAATTGATTATTGATGAGTTTATTTGTTATTGTGCTTGAAACATTGTTTTTTTATTTTTATAATGGTCTTCCGATTAGGTTGCTTTCAAAATGTGTTTAAGCTTTTTATTTTGCTCTGGTGAATCAACTGCAAATGCTTGTGTGGCTGCTGCTAAGCTATCCATGGCACCAAGGTTGTTTTTGATCTTAAGGCATACACTGCTTTCTTTTGAAAACACCAACATACATATATTGTCTATAAGAGTCGTCTTTGATTGTCAATGCCCATTATCTTGACAGGCTCAATTTTTTGTCCCAAAATCATATTATGTTTTTACCGTCAAAAATCATGATGAAGTAATGCTGTGTGCAAGAAATTTGTTGCGTTGAAGTTACTGAAATTTGAATGAACCCCAATTATTCCTCACTTCTGAGCATTTATGGAGTTTATAGTTTCTAAGTGTTTGACTAACCTTATTGCTGGTGGACCGCAGATTGTTAAGGGCATTGATGCAGTGACAAGGGAACAACTGGTAAGAATAATGGCCTTACTAGGGATTCAGAATGCAACCCCTGTTTTTAGTATGGTACCCACTGTGGGACCCTTTAAGCCCGCGGCTCTTATACCCGCCATAACTGAAGAGGATGAAGTTATATTGAACAATGTCCAGATGGTGGTGGAGTTCTTGACTGCAGGAAGTTCTCTATCAAGAACATCTAGTCAGGTAATGAAGAGTTCACTTCTGAGCGTCATGATTTTTATTTCTGTACTCTGCATCAGTTCTTTTCAACAAATAAGTGCATGTTTATTTTTGTTCAGATAAAAAGGTTCCACATATTTATTTATCTATCTGTTTGTTTGTTTGTGGGTGACCGTAGGCACTGAATATTCCTCAGATTATCCAAGAGCTTCTTCCAGTGCTACCTGGCATCTCTGTTAAAGTGCTTCCTGATGTTGTTAGCAGATTATCTTCTCGGGTTTTAGCACGATTAATACGTGACACATTTTTGTGAGAGAATTCTCTCGACCTTACTACCTTAGGCCACACAATTGTGTATATTTTTACAGTGGTCAAAACCACTATACAAGTATATATAATATATAATATAACCAATATTTTGTTAAAACTATGGAGATAGGAAAATCATAAATATTATTTATTCATCAAGATGATCATTAATAAATGATAAATTAAAATAATAAAGACTAAAATATATAATAATATATAAAGTTGATAGTAGACTTTGGTATACATTTTTTTTTTGTTTGCTTTTTATCCTTTATTATTACATAAAAATATGTTCTATTTTTTTTAATATCAAGAGTCAAAAAAGTCACCCTCTTTATAAAGTGTTGGCAGTTATAGATAATTAAAGGTTATAGAAGTTGTGGTAGTCAATTATTATAGAGATACGAATTGTTTCGGTCTTGTTAGTAAATAAGAATAAGAGTTTAGAGAGGATTTTGAAGCACGTTAGATGCTACTTTTAGAAGAAAAGAAAACTCATTGAATTGGTTGATTAATTTGTATTGTGTTATTTCTTTAAGATACGAATCAATCGTAGGCAACAAAGAATTTCTGACTAAAAAACACCATTCCAAAATACAAAACACTTAATAATTTATACTAATATATAAAGAAGATTCATTATTTTCATGTACACAAATTTTAAGATGTTTTTAACTTTATTTATTATGGTAATTGTACAATTTTTTTAGTGGATAACTTAGTAATTTTACTTAATTAATTTAAATAAAAATTATTATTTTCTAAAAATAAATCATAACATTACCATTTTGTAACTTTCATATCCCATAATACTAACAAAGTATGGTGTATCTTTCTTTTACTAGTAATAATAATATTAAATGATATTTAGTAAAAATAGAAGTTAATATACACAATGTAGTGTATCACATTTATGTGTTTTGTGTTGTTTATTTTTTTATATATTTTCCACTAAGAGAAGTCATATTTATAACCAATAAAGAGCTAAAAGTCACAATTTACTATAACTGAATGTAAGATCAGTTGCTAAATTGGTCAAAGTAATTAAAATTATAATGGTTTTAATCTTTGAAAAACATTAACAAAACTAATTAAAAATATTAAAACATTAAACCGGAATTTGATTAAATAAAAATATTACAATCATCCACTAATGTAAAATTTAAATAGGATATCATAGTATATGAAAACCTTAAAAAAAACATTTTTAGTGGTGTATGACATTATTTTTTCGGTATAAGGAATTTTTCGATTTGAACTTTATATCTAATGTATATGAACTTTTACCTAAAAAAAGAATTTGAAAATTAGTTTACCTTGAACCATATCTCCTTTAACCAAGTTGTGGAACATAATACAAATAATATATTTTTTTCATGGATATGATCCATGTAGTGTCCTGAAACTAACAATTGAAGACTAATTTACGTTCGTGAAATATGACTTCTATTGGTCAAACATTATTTTAATATAGACGAAAATAGAACCTAAGAACAATAGACATAATACAAATATTATAAGTGTTCATTTTGAATTCTAATCAATGGTACACTTTTGCGTGGATATCTTATTTTGTGAGTGTCACTTAAAGATATATTCATATCTTAAAGTGATGACTCCACCACCATACTCGATAGGTGAATTTTTCAAAGGATGACCTGTGATTCTCACCCCTACAATTATTGTTGTTAAATTCATTAGCAAATATTTTAATTTTAACACAATAAATATAAATATTCAAATACTTAAACCTTACAATTGTCATAATTTAAAAAAAAAAATACAGCTCGCCATAGAAATAGAAACTAGAACATATCCATATAATAAATAATTATGTTAGTGTACTTTAACTAACAAATAATTTCATTTTTATCGATTTAGATCAAATTATTTACCTATTTTCATGGTCAAATTCTTAACGACTTCATGAAAAGCTAACTTTGAATCAATTTGTTCAAATAGGTTTGATATGCAATATTCTTTCTTTTATTTAAGGTGGGTTGGACTCATGTGTTTAGGGAGGCAAATAGGTGATAGATAACCTTGCCGTGTATGAAAGATCTCTTCCCGAGAGTTTGGGAGTTTTTGATTTTGTTCTCCTTTTATTTGTTCAAATTTAATTAAGTTGTGTTGGGGCCTTGGCACAGTATCATAAAAAATAAAAAAAATTTGCCAAGTCAATTATGTGGGCTATTATTTTCTTCTATTACCCAAAAGAAATTATTTTGAATGTTAATAAGTGTATACTTAGTGATATATATAGAGTTAGACAATCGTCATATTCAATGTATCTGTACCTACAAAGAGGATACACCAATGATCTTCTCGTAGTCTGAAGGCCGAACGAGTGTCGATCCGATGTGAATAGAGGGGTTGGTACCTGCAGAAGGCACTCCAACGCTCAAGTCAGGACAAGCACAGATATCTAGGATAATTAATGAACAGTGACGTTACCTTTTGTCCTGAGCTATTTATACTGACATTTATGGGCTCTAGACCCCATGGGTCCTGTGACGTACTTACCGTATTAGGTAATACACCTTAATCGACTAATTAACCCCTAATCCTTGATTAAGAGTACCAAATGATGGTAGGCCGATCTTGGTGGCCGATTGACATTCGGCTTCCTGGTTCCGCCATTCGACGGCCGATGGGGTGGTTGCCGAACCCCCCTTACCTGTACAGTATCTAAGAATGCCTCCATGGCTACACTGTTTTCAATCCCCTCGGTACCCTATTTTTCATCTGCCATGAGGAACATGTTACAGATTTTCACACTAGAATGGAAAGCATAGTTATAAGATCACATATTGAAAGACTTTCTATCTTCGTTTTTTTTAGTCTTGACTACAAAATGTCCGTTTCAACTATTTCACGGCTGTGTGTGTTAGATTAAGCCCTTTAAATTTCTTTTAAAAGAAATCCTTGAAATGTATCTTTACATTCAAGATAGAAAAAAGAGAAGATGAGAGAGGGGAAAGAGAGAAGAAAAAAGGCAAAGAAAAAAAAAATAGAAGAAATAAATGAAGAAAAAAAAGTCACGTGAAATTTTAAAGATTTTAGTAAGATTGATAAACAAGTAAATTATAGGTAAATTTTTACTAAAAATTCTTACAAAATGCATCATCAAAATAATCTATTGAAATTTCTATGTTTTTAAATACTAAAAACTTTTTTTAGGTGAAAAAGTATTTTAATTAAATATTACCAAATTTAAACATACTATTAAATTTTAGGTGAAAAACTTTACCTCATTCTGACTTCTAAGGGTGGATAACATGATTTCCCAAACTGCTTGTTAACCGTGTATACAAACCTTTGACTCACAATTATAGTCAAAGCGCAAATAAGTGCTAAACTTTTTGAGTTTTTTTTATTTATTAATTTTTAAAATATGTTTTAATGTTGTTACTTAATTTAAATTCACAATTAAGATATGAATAAATCAGATAAAATAATAATATTGAATATTTTAAAATTATAAGATCAAATTAAATATTTTAAAAATAATAAAATTAAATTAAGTGAATATTGATTCAACATTTATTCTCTAGGTAACTTTTAAATATTTTATTATCTACGTTAACAAGAATGACAACAAATTAAATATTTAAAATTAAAAAAATAATTATAAAATAAAAGAATTATTTAATAAAATAAATTATTAAATAGATAAAAAAAAGTTTAAATTTATCTAAATAAAAATATTAAATAAATTTTTGTTCAATATAGTCTCTCTATTTATGAAATACTTAATTTGATCTCACTATTTTTAAATAATTTAATTTAATCATTTAATTTTCAATGATATTCAATGTTATCCTTATTTCATTAATACTATTAATATTAATTTGAATAGAATAATATCATTGAGCAAATTTTTAAAAGATTAAATTAAATTATTTAAAAATAATAAAATCAAATTAAGTCTTAACAATAAATAAAAAGGATAAAAATATAATTTTCATATATATAATTTATGTAATAAATTACATGGCTATGTAATTTATCACATGATGAAGCATTGAGTGCAAAAGTTGCATGTAGACGTAGTCATGACTGAGTTATAATTGTAAACGTTATACAAATCTAAATTTAAGAAAGAAAAAGTGATACCTGTGCCTAGAATTGATTTTACAACAAGATCCAGAGAATATCCTGTCAAAATAATGAGGGACATATTTAATCAATGATTAAATAATTTGGATAGAGCAAAAACCCATATAGCAATTAACAGTAAAAATGGAAAGGAAAAGGAAAGCAGGTTCCTTCTTTTGTGGGCTGTGGCTCACATGCATGCTCATCATTTCTATCTCATGGACCCCTTTCTTCTCTAACTCACCTTTCCCTTTTATTCTCTTCCAAAATCATTATCCATCAAACTTCATCAACAAAACTTTCAAACCCCTTTTGCCTTTTCTTTTCATCATTTCCCCTCAATCTATAAAAGAAATGCAATGTACTTTAAAAACAACAATATCCGTCAAATTGACATATAACAAGTAGCACTAAAATTAAATTAAAATGTGTTGAAAGTATGAAGATTTTATATATATTATCATTCAATTACAAATTTTTTAATTAATTGATGATATAATATTAATAATGTATCATAATTAAAATCAATTGAATTTATAAGACACAACATTTTCACAATATGTTTTCTCTTTTAGCCTTTGAAAAAGAATTTAAATTTAATATTTTTTTATTTAGACTACATGAACTAATCTTTTTCAAGTTCGTAGTTTATTTTGGATTGCGAAATTCTCTTTCTGAAAATTTAAGAAAAATAATCAAAGTTTGAACTACCTGTGTAAATGTAACAAACTTATGTTGTTTTGTTTTTGAAGCAAATTTACACCATTTATGAATTAAAAGTTATATAAAAATTATCAACGATTTTTAATTACATCAAAATCACTATTAATAAAGAAAAAAAAACAAAAAATATACTGTAAATATATTTTAATTAAATTATTAAAAAGAAAAGTCAATTTTATTGTTCTTGAAGGAGAACTGTTTGTTGTTTTCTGATTTGGTGGGTTAGTAAAAATTCTGTTACCTGGTCTCACAAAAACATGGCACACCCATTGAAAAATGAAAACCTTGACTCTACGTTATACCTTTCTTTCTTTCACTCGCAAGCATTTTTCATTTTTTCTTTTCTAACTGTCCCTCCTCACTTTTGGTCTTCTATCCGTTTTTTGCTAAACCTTTGCAACATAAACAAGTTCCCCTTTCTTTGCTTCTGTGGTGGGGTTTTTTCTTTTTTCTTGATCCCTTCCTTTCTTATTCCTACCTTCACTTTTTCTCTCACCAATCTCCCTCTCTCCTCGCACCTTCTTTTCCTCTTGTGTTTTGTACCTTTTCATTTTTCTAAAAAAGCAAATTTTAATTTAATATTCTAAGGTTGTTTTTTTATTCTAGAATTTTTGGCTCAAGCAACCACATGCATGTTCTTTTCATGCTTGTCTGATCTGGATTGGATCACTAGGATCTTTGCCATCTCCTCTTTTTGTTTGGTACTTGAGGGGTAGTGAGTGGCGTGGTGGGGTTTGTTTGAGTCACACATGATATGAATCCCTGGACTCTTGGGCAATCATATTCATAAGACAAAGCAAATCACAGAAGAAAGGAACAAGGTTAGTGTGTTAGCATCTTCCACCCCTTTTTTGAAATATGCTTGATCTGGGACCCCACAAGATGCTTTTATTTGATTTTTGATTTTCTGTTGTGCTTTTATGGTTCTGATCCAAAATAGATCTTTTTTAATTTCTGATTGATAGGGACTTGTCTGTTGTGTTCTAGAGGGAAATTGTGAACAAGGGTCTGTTTCATTTGTTCCATCCAACGTTGTGGTTTGAGTGCTGGTTGGTTGGTTGGATTGGGTAAGGGTGGGTGGGGTACCCAATTGGAGAAAGTTTTGATTTTTGAAGGTAGCATGTGTTTATGTTTGTGATTGATAGTGTGGGTTGGTGAGTATTGTGCCTTGGGCTGTTGAGGTATGGCGGGAATTGATGTTACAAAGTATGGTCATAGTCCTGTGCACAAGGCCATAGTTTTGAAGGATTATGCTGAACTTAGGAGGATAATTGGAGGCCTTCCACGGCTGCGCAACACGGCCGAGATTCGCACTGAAGCAGTTTCTATTTTAGAGGAAGAGAAGGCTGATGCCATCTCTGCTGTGATTGACCGGCGCGATGTACCGAACCGTGATACACCTCTTCACTTGGCTGTGAAATTTGGGGATGAAGTGGCAACCGAGATGCTTATGGTTGCCGGGGCAGATTGGAGTTTGCAGAATGAGCAAGGGTGGAGTGCTCTCCAGGAAGCTATTTGCAATAGAGAAGAGGCTATTGCCAAGATAATAATTAAGCATTACCAGCCTCTGGCTTGGGCAAAATGGTGCAGACGGTTGCCTCGCTTGGTCTCCACCATGCGGAGGATGAGAGACTTCTACATGGAGATTACATTCCACTTTGAGAGTTCTGTGATTCCTTTCATCTCGAGGATCGCACCTTCAGACACTTATAAAATTTGGAAGAGGGGTGCCAATCTAAGGGCAGACATGACTTTGGCTGGTTTTGATGGTTTTAGAATTCAGAGGTCAGATCAGAGCATTCTTTTCCTTGGTGATGGTTCGGAGGATGGGAAAGTCCCACCTGGATCACTCTGCATGATCTCACACAAGGAAAAGGAGGTACTCAATGCTCTAGATGATGCTGGCTTTCCCGCAGATGAGGAGGATGTTCAGCAAGAAGTGGCTGCAATGTCTAAGACTAATATATTTAGGCCTGGGATTGATGTTACACAGGCAGTTCTTTTGCCTCAGTTGACTTGGAGGCGGCAGGAGAGAACAGAAATGGTAGGGCCTTGGAAAGCTAAGGTGTATGATATGCACAATGTAGTTGTAAGCATAAAATCTAGAGGAGTTCCCGGAGCTATGACAGATGATGAGCTCTTCTCATCTTGCAATGAAAATGAAGCAGAGAGTGAAGAGCTCAATGATATTTTGACTGAGGATGAAAGAAGGCAATTGGAAGCTGTGCTTAGGTCAGATTCATCGGATGTGAACAATGAGAGTGATGAGGTAATCATTGGGCATCGTCACAGCTGTTATGAACATAGAGATATTCCTATTGAAGACGGAAATTGTAGCAGACGTGGAGAAAATAAGCAGGAAAAGAAAGGATGGTTTGGTGGATGGAGGAAAAAGGATTCTAAACAAGAAACACCAAAGAAGATTGCTCCACCAAGAAGTTCTCTATGTGTAGAAGAAAAGGTGAGTGATTTATTGGGGGATTCTCCTCCAAGAAATCAGAGTAAGTCAGGTAGACATTCTGTTGAGTTAACTATGAGGGGTGATGAGTCACGGAGGAAAAAAGATGCCAAAGCTTCTTCCACAAATTCTGATGGCAAAAGTCGTCACAAGGATGGAAATCGTGAAAATGAATATAAGAAAGGGTTGAGACCTATTCTTTGGCTTTCCCCGAATTTTCCACTAAAAACTGAAGAACTCTTGCCATTGCTTGACATTGTTGCAAATAAGGTTAAAGCAATTCGACGGTTAAGAGAACTCCTTACAACGAAACTTCCAATGGGAACTTTTCCTGTTAAGGTCTGTGTTCATCATCTTCATTTTAAGACATGTTACTAGAAATATAATGGCATATGTTAAATTCTTAAATTGCTTCCATTTTATTTTCTTTTGTATCACTCGCTAGAGTGAATTATACACTTTCTTGTTTACTCTAATACTTTAGTGTGCTGCACATCATGTGTTTGTCTATGGATGTGGAAACTGTAGGGAGAAGGGAGGAAATTGAGGGAATAATGGTCATATTTCTAGAGGAAACACATGATGGAGTGGTGACTATAGTTTCTGTTACTTTATTCTAATCTAATTTCTTTTCTTAGATTTAATAGCTTACTGATTTCTTGCTAATTACAGGATAATTAGTGAGCTCCTAATGATCTGAACAATGAAAATAGCTTTCCTTCAATCAGTTAATACTACTGCATATATGGTTCATGATTTTAAGGCAAAAATGTACTTTTCGTCGTGAGTTTTGGGCCAGTTTGAGCTTCATTTATTAAAACACTTTTTTTTTGTTCATTTCCTTCCTAAGCATCTTATGGAGTATTGTTAATTCTGTCCCAAAAGCCATAACTTTGTCAAAATAATTGACAGAAACTTGCTGCATGCCAACTTTTTGTTATCACATTTGAAAGAAAAAAGTGACCAAATTAGCTGTGGAGCCATTGAAATGGGTAGACGGGGTGGGGGGATCAGCTGTTTGAAATTTTAGTTCCTCAAGATTATAGATTTTATTTGTTCAATTGGTCAACCTAGTGGTCCCACAATGCAGCTGGCTTTACCATTATCACCTCTGGCTTCTGTTTGCTGGAAATTATCCTAAAAGTCAACAATCAAAGATTTACGTTCAATCATTATTGTATAATAATGTTCATATCTAGAAATAGAAACAACACTATCTCTATTTGGATTTTTTACCCTTCTGGTGTGTTTTGTAAATCCTATTTGGAAGGCCAAAGCTACCTTAAAAGTCATGTCTTTTGTTTGGGATGTGTACTTAACAGGATTAATGCAAACAACTTGTTGTTGCATGTTCATAGGCCTCACTCTGCTATTTTTCCCAACATGCACATTACATGCAGTTATAGTTTAGAAACAGTTGGTTTTTCTTTTTTTTTGCATTGTGATATTGCTTCTTTCTATAGGAATATTTGCACCAGGTTTTTGTTGAGCACTGCTTCTTCCCCACTTTTAAGCAATTTATGATGATTAGTTACTATATTTAAAGCATATATAAAATACAAGGAAGTTAAAATTGTGTGGTGATGTGGAGTTTATGCTTTCACATAGGAATGTGCTTGCTGACCTTGTGATTGGATTTTGTGTATGGCCACCCTTTATTTTTGTGTGCATATTTTTATGATTCAAGAAATATGTCATTTCAAACGTGCATATAGATTGGAAATTTTACTGCAATCTTCATTTTTCGTTTTTTTAATGTATTTTGCTATTTATGTTTCTGAGGATAATTTATCCTTCTTATAGTTGTACTCTCCATCGTTTTTCACTTATTATTGATGTTATTAAAGTTAGCCTGGTGCCCTGGTCATTGAGTTAAGAGGGAAAAATGCAAACATCAGATAATAAAAAAAAGGGGAATATAGAGAAAGCAAAAACAAATAAAAAAGGGGGAAATTTGAGGAGGTAATTTCAGTTCTTTAGTGCTTTTATGATTAGAAAAGTGAAAAGCCATGTGCACACAGATTACTGATTCTTGCTAGTGCTCTCAAAAGAAAGTGCCAAATGCTTACAACAAAATGGCTACCTACTGATTTTTAATGCTCTTGTGAGATGCTATTATTGGCGTTGCAAATGACTGGTAAGGAAATGATCAACAGCAGTGAATGAAGGTTGCTGAGGAACCTCCATTTATTGCTGTTCCAATTAGAGACTGAACACTGATCTTGGAAACAATCTGGGCTGTCTCTTGCCTAATCTAGTTTTGCACATTGGGCCAAGACACGAGTTCTTTCAAAATGTGGCCGAGTCATTCCAGTTCATACCGATTTGTTAGCACATCTGATCCAACATGTTAACCGGAGCTGTTACTTGGTCAATTCACTAGATCACCGGTTGAACTGGCCAGTCTGATTCCAGTTTTCTAAAATTGCTTCCTATACAGAAATACTATAGTTGACGAATCCAAGCTTGTTTTATGTCAATGATCAGAATACTTGTTGGAAATTGTTGTCCAGGTCTTCTAAACATTCTGAATTTGACCTAATGTGGCAGCAAACGTATTCCCTTTTTCTAGCTTATGATCTTAACATGACCCTTGGTAATAAAATTCTCATTCAGTTTAATGGGTTTGATTAATCTGGATGGGTTGGCCTGAACCGATTCATTATCCTCTTTGCTGGTGCTTTCCTATCTGTCTAATTTTCTTACATGTTTTATTTCTCTTTTTGTTAAATGTTGTTAAAGCCATTCCCCCCTTGCATATTCAGGTGGCCATCCCTGTGGTTCCTACCATCAGAGTATTGGTTACTTTCACAAAGTTTGAAGAACTACAGCCAGTAGACGAATTTACCACGCCACCATCGAGTCCACCCACAAATGGCCAACAGAGTCCAGCAGCGTCACACTTCTCGGCATCATCTTGGTTTACATGGATAAAAGCTCCTTATCGCTCTAGTTCATCCGCTCCAGGATCCAGCAGCAGGATAGAAAATATTCAAGACCCATTTGCAATTCCATCTGACTATACTTGGGTTACTGCTGAAGCAAAGAAAAAGAAGATGCAAGAGAAAAACAAGGCTAAGAAAGGGAAAAGTCATAACTAATGATGCCACTTCATAAGTAAGCACCACACTTGGAAGTACTTGATTGTTTAGAAAATTTGGGCCATTTGTGTGGAAATTGAATTTGAAGCTATCTTTCATGTAGGAGTGTTCCTCCAAGGAATTGTCATTGTCCATTTGGGGCATTTGGCATAAGGAAAAGAAACATTGTGATTCTTGCAATAATTGCTCGAGTTTTCAGGTTTACACCAAAGAATTTGTTGATTGTGTTTCAATATATATGGAAAAACCATTAACTTAGGATAGTTGCAATCACAGTGACCAACTTTCATATTCATGGTTGCAGTTTATATTCACCTGTGTTTGGTTATAATTCTTTCCCATGATTTTATTCATGTAAATAAATTGAAGAATTTGTTTACTAGCTTTGGGCTTTATCATAAGAGTTTTATTATATATCAGCATTGATATTTGTGAAATTTGGTACCGTTTAATATTTATCATCGAATTTGCCAATCCACATTGGATGTTTAAGGAATTTTTGGGCTACATACACGAACAACCAAATGGATGGGAACAATTATTTATATATCGATTACAAGAAGTTGATGATCGATTATATGTGGCTTGCTTTATTTTGTCATGGTTTGTATTTGAAAATCAATTACAGGATTTCCGTAATCGATTACAAGTGTTAAAAATACAAGTATGGAAAGGTTTTAAAACTCGAATTAATTGATTACAATATCCTTGTAATTGATTATGGTTGTTATGAAAATTGCTTTACAAATAGTTATTGATCATAGTTAATGTTATAATTTTAACAAGATGTACACAGGGAAAAAAAACACTTTCTTTTAGTTTTGAAGATTAGAGAGAATTTTTGTGACTCCAACATGGGTTATCATCTACCTTAAGAAGATAAAGATTTTTTTCAAGAAATTCAAAGATTTACGGTAGAAGAGTAATGTTTGTAGGGGCTGTACTCTAAGGTGTATCCTTTCTTTTCCTCTTGGTGTGAGGGTGTAAAACAAATATTTGGAGAGAGTTTCTCTATAATGCTTGCAAGGATTTAAATAAGGTTTTCAAGAAGCAGGTTTCAAGACTGCTCATGGGATGTGAGTAGGTTTCTTTGAAGATCTAGGCTTCGGGGTGGAACTTGTTTGTAAGGATTTTCAAGATTATAGTGAAATCTCAGTGATTTAGCTGAGACATTGAATGTAACTCTCTGCTGTAGAAATTGCACTAATATAAACCTTGGTTCCAATCTCTCTTCTCTACTCTATTTAGATTACTTGTATATTTACTCTGTCTTTGCATTCTTGTATTCAAGATTTCTAGAGTAGATCTTTAGTAATTGTTTTTGTCATAATGGTCAATATTTTTTTGAAATGATAATTAGTGATCGTGATTACAATATTTTAAATGCACTAGGCAAAATTTTTATTTTATTTATTTATTTTATCAAATCAATTCATCCCTCTTGATTTAGTCATGTTTTTATTGTTATTGATTCAAAGTTTGTTCAAAGTTATTTGATAGTGTTGGAATATATTTTATATTATTTTTAGGTATTTTAATTATAATATCATTTTATAGAATTATATTAATAAATAATTCTATTTTCATCTATTATCTTTTCAAACATGTTTGATTTGATCCTTTATATTATTAAATAGATTTAATCTAGTCTTTTATATTTTCAATAACGTCCAGCTTAGTCTTTCACCATATCAACAGCAATGCTAACATGTATAATGGTTAACTCAAATTTATTTTAATGTTAATCATTGAAAACTTAATGAGAAGGACCATTTTGAATCATGTTATAAACACAAGAGACTAAATTGAAAAGATAAATGATCAAAGTCAATATATATATATATATATATAGATAAAAGACTAAAAATATTATTTAACTTTGTTTAATGTATTTTAATTATACAATTTTAGTCACTGAATTTGATAAAATTTACAATTTTTGGCTTTTCACTATATACATCTATTAATTGTTAAAATTATAACATGAACTATGATCAAACATTAATTAAATGATGTGATAATTAATATTTAATCATATTTTGCTTAAATTTTATTTTTAATTAATATTTTTTTCACATAAAAATTGTAAAATAAGATGAAAATAAAAACTAAAAGTGTAATTCAGTGTAAACATTTTGAAATATTAGTTTGTTTGAGGGCTTGTACTCATTCTTTCATTAATTATAAGCCTTCATAGTTTTGTTGTGATGATTTTAATGAACATAATCACATTAACCTCTCTTAAGATCTTAAGGTGTTATGCTTCATTTATAATAAGCCTTTTGTGGATAATATAAGTTTTTCATTTTTTATTTTGGATAAATAAATTATCTACTTTATTAGTTGTTGCGTGTAATGGAAAATTGTTGGGGTATGATCAAATAGAGAAACAAATTATACAAAATTAACATTTAAAGTTTTGTGTAACATTTATGTTAGTTATTTTGTGATTTAAACTTCAATTCTCCTAATCAAAGTTTTAAATTACGGTACCAATTAATTGTTAGTTCAAGTAGTACTAGATTTAATTTCTTTACCTAAAATCTTAGATTTGAGTCTTATGTATGAAAAAAATGTAATTAGAAGAAAAACTTTACTAAAAATAGTCAATTAGATTCTTCAACAAAGATTAGTTATCAACAAATAAGTAAAATACTAAGTAATTTTAAAAAAAAAAAAAACTACTTGTCTCTACTTGTATTTGAATTGTTACAAAAAAAAAAAAAATGGTTACAATTGGTTAATTTGATCCTTTGCTCTACTTGTATTTGATTAAAAATAAGCAAACAAGACGGAAAAACTACAAAGGATATGATAGAAATAAGGCATTAGTTACAAATGATGGTTGTTGGTCACATGTGAAGGTAGCGAGTCTAGCTATTGCTTAATTTTTCCTTAACTTCTCACATTTCCCTACCTCAACTTTTGGTTCACCCTTATTAAGTTCCTAACTGAAATCTTGTTTGTAGCCTCTAATATTATCACTCAGCCATGACCATGAAGCTTGCTAATGATGTATCAACCTTGTTAATTAGTTATTACTTTTGTGCACTTTGCCTATTCTAATCCTTTCTCTTTTAACTTGTCTTCAATAGTAATCCATTTATAATCAGGGGGAATAGCAAAAAGGTCCTGGTCATCATGTATCCTACTACTAGATTCAGCAGCTGTTGAACTAGATCTAGAAGGGGTCTTTATCCACTGAAACCATGATTTTGAGGAGGATTCCGATTCATCCACATCCACATCCACATCTGAATCCCCTTCTTCTGAGTTCTCTTGACCAGAAGTAGGACTTGATGGGGCTGATTCAAACTCATCTGCATTTTCCTGTTGTATTTCTTCAAACTTGTTAAAAGTCACCAATACTCTAACTGTCGACACCACAGGGATGGCAACCTGAAAGATCAAACACAAGCATAACAAAGATAGAAAATAAATCATAATTAGTGTCAAGTTTTCCCTTTTAATAATACCAAGTACCAACCAATATGGAAACTAATAAGAACTCTTTGATTATGTTCTCATAATTGTTGACTTTTGACAAAGTTTCATGCAGATAATTAAAGACATATAACTGTTGGATATTGATAAATATTACATTCTGTATAAAGTTATTGACAGTGTAAAAATTCGTATAACTCATGTTACTATGTTAGTGTAGGTTGATGCTTCCTATATCTATATCAATAATGACACCAGTAGATGCAAAAGAAATGCACTAGATCTAACCAACTTCTATCTAATGTGGAGATGACAAGTTTTATATATATTTTTAACAATAAGCATTTCTACATGCAGGCTAAAAAAATAGTAATAATCTTCATTCTTCATGATTGAACTCTAAAGCTTTCTGATAATTTTCATAAAATACTCTCTTGAATAAACAGCTAGCCAACAATCATAGACTAGTTCGAATCAATTGTTATCAGAAGCATGCTCAAACATGTGCAGCAAACATTGTATATTGCATCTTTTAAGTATAGAACAACATAACATCTATTATAAATAATAATTTTCCCTTGTGAGTACTGCATCAAGGAAAGCAAGACTGCAAGAGGGAAAGAACTAGGTAAACATATAATTACATGGAATTTTCAGAAAAAGGACTAACCTTGACTGGAAAGGATTCCTTTGGAAGCTTTGTTGTAAGGAGTTCTCTTAACCGGCGAACCGCTTTAAGTTTTTCTGCAAGAATGTCAAGCATAGGTAGCAATTCTTCAATTTTGAGTGGAAAGTTTTGTGAAAGCCAAAGTGCAGGCATCATTCCTCTCTTGAACTGGCTTTCTTCCTTGGGTCCAGAAGAATTCTCAGAAGATGCATTGGTGTTTTTCCCTTTGTGGTGGTTCTCTCTATGTCCACCAGACCTTCCTTTCTTTTCTTTCTTGTGACTCTTGTGACTGTGGCCATTTTCCTCTGTTGCATTCATTGCAGCCTCTAACTGCTTCTTTTCATCATCTGTCAAAATCTCATCAAGTTTTTCAGAGTCCTTCTTCTTGTTTTCTTTGGGAATTGGCTTGGCCTCAGGTGGTGGAGCTCCAGGTACCCTTTTGGATTTCACATTAAGAACCACATTTTGCATGTCATACACCCTAGCTTTCCATGGCCCCACCATTTCTTTTCTCTCCTTTCTCCTCCATGTTAACTGAGGCACAAGATGTGCCTCACTCACATCTATAGCAACCCTCACTGATTCAGACTTGGACTTTTTAAGCAATGTGTTCCTAACCTGTCTATCAGTGGGGGCAACTATACTAGGTGAAACCACTACCACTTCCTTCTCTTTGTGTGAGAGTTTGAAAAGTGATCCACGGACTTTCCTCTCATCATCTGAAGTGCCATCACCAAGGAAAAGAATGCTCTGATTAGACCTTTTGATTTTCAAGCCATCAAAGCCACCCAAAGTCATATCTGCCCTCATGTTCCCACCCCTTTTCCAAATCTTGTAAGTGTCTGAAGGTGCAATCCTTGAGATGAAAGGTATCACAGAACTCTCAAAATGGAATGTGATCTCCATGTAGAAGTCCTTCATCCTTCTCATGGTCCCTACATACCTAGGCAACCTTCTAAAATACTTTTTGTCATAGTCATTCCAAAAGTACCTGATCATAACTATTGCAATTTTATCTTGTTTGTTGATGATGGCTTCTCTGAGAGCAGTCCACCCTTCCTTGTTCTTCAACATACCATTTGCACCAGCATCCATGAGCATTTCAGTTGCTACCATGTCACCAAGTTTTGCAGCCAAGTGAAGAGGGGTGTCACCATTTGGCACATCCCTCCTATCCACCACAACAGAGATGGCTGCAGCCTTCTCATCCTCAGCTATTGAAGCAGCCTCAGTTTTAATCTCAAAAGGGTTACTTAGTTTTGGGAGAACAGAAAGTATCTGCTTAAGACCATCATGATCCTTCAATAATATGGCCTTGTGCACAGAACTATGAGCATAAGCTGAGACATTAATGCCTGCCATAGCTCACAAATTAAAGGTTACCAACAGGCACTAGTCAATAATCAGAACCACACACCGATTCCAATCATCCAAAACAGCCTTTTTTATTCTTCTTTCCACGTTATTACAGACACAAAAATTATGGGAAAGTTGGATTCAGTTGTCAATTTCTCCTATTGGAAATAGGATTGACCATCAATAGCACATGATTTCATAAAACTGTAGGATTTTGGAGATCTGAATCAGCAGGAGGAACTCAATACATGGAAACTTTGGTAAAAATCATAAATGAAATAAACCCAGTTTTGATCACAACCAAACAGCACAATCAATATAGCTGAGACAACAATTAGAAGCCAAAAATGACAAGGGTCAAAGCAAGCATTTGATGAGGCTTGCGTTTGTAATGGTAAACTCAAGGAAGGAATATGAGAAAAACCATGATGAGGGGAGACTTCATTGAGAAAATAGAAAAAAAAGAAAAGAAAAGAAAAGAAATAGTTACCTATAATAGGAACTATAAGTGGGGTAGATAGATACACAAACATGGAATCAAAAAGTCTTGAAATAGAAGAGATTAATTTAAACCAACATGTGTGTGGACGTAAGAGTAGTAGAGAGAAAATTCAACTCTCCCAAGTTAAGCCATAGGGATTGAGGGGGAGAATTTTTGCTTTTCATTGTTATGCTGATTTTTAGAAAATATTTCTAATTTTTTTCTTAAGAGTTTTCTATTGCAAGTATGTGTGGACGTATAGGAAGGGAAAATTGCTGAAGTTCAATCCGATCAATGAGGGTGATGCAATGGGCACTGACTCAAAGTCAGCTCCCACCTAAGAGCCACTCAATTCTTCACCAAAGTTTAGGACTAATGCTATTCTTATCACTTTGTTTTGTACAACCAACGTCCACACATGTATAAATATATATAATTAATTACGATATCTAAGTTCTCAACTCATGAGATAACTAGTAAATTGTTCCGAGTTTACATTTTTTTAGTACCGAAAACAAGTTAACTCTATAGTAAGCTTTTCTTCCAATAAATCTTTTAAATTTGTGTAAATTCTTATAAATTTTTGAATTAAAAAGCGAGTTAATGAGTTTAAAATCAAATATAATTTTTACTTTTATTAACTCCATAGTGTTAGTATTTTATTATGACTTAAATGATTTGAATAAATCAACTCCTTTTTGAAATAATTTTATTTTAAAAACTATGTTCTTATGAAATTATACATAATTTGGTTATTTGTGTAGTTTAATTCTATTTAGTATTAATGTATTATAACATTTTATTATTGTAATTTAATACTTTTATTTTTTATGCAGTTGAAATGTTGAATTATTATTGTATTAAGTTTATTATGTTATAAATATACGTCGTTAATATTTTTTAATATTATTTTATAATAAATAAACTCTTATGAATTTATAAATTGAGTCTGCAAAAGTTTAGCAAGTTTAAATTAAATTTCAAGTTTGACAATCTTAACCAAAAACTAAATTGTACTCACAATAATTAATTTGAACTTATAAGATATGACTTTTTTGGTCAAATACTATTTTAATATTACAAAAATTGACAAAATACCATATCAATATCTCATGTCTCAAACAATTTTGCAAGTTACAATGATTAAATATGGTAAATTATTAACTATTATAATAATTATCTTAAAAGTCATATTAATAATGTTATTTTTATTAATTGTCTACATGAAAACTTTTACAATATCAATGCACGACTATTGAATCTTACATTTTCTAGCAAATTTATATCATAATTATTGTTAATACCTCTTTATTCTATGTCTTAGTAATTAGTACGGTGGTCTTCATAAATATCAAATACCACAGATCATAGAATATTAGAATGTGACTTACAGTAGTCTTTTAGCAACCTCAAGAGATTCTTACTGGTATTTTAAGTTATGCGTTTTATAGAGTAAATATTTATTATATATAACTAAAATTTATAATAAATTATATTTAAATAAGTATATAAATTATATTTTAAATTTAAGATAAACAAATATATTAGTTTAATTATTGATAATTTATTTTAAAATATTAAAATTTAATTTATAAATAAAAAATAAAATAGATAAAAAAATTTAAAAATCTAAAAATCTCCAATTAACGTTTTTTTTTTGGCAAGATAGTTATCCGCAAGTAAAGACGTTGATTTATTCTTTCATTATTATCCTTACGTGATATTATTATAATAGCGATTTCAACAACCAAGTAAAAGAAAGGAAGGTTTGTGCTGCTACATTTGTCATAAATATTGTACAATTGATTGCGAATTTTGTAATTAAAAGAATGTGAATTATCCATTGACAAGATATACATATTATTCTATATTAACGTTATAAAAAAAAACACTTCGTGTTTCCGTGTAATTTAAAAGAAAAAAAATGAAGTGTTAATAATAAATTTTTGATTAAGGATAATTTTTATAAGGATAATTTTTTTTGAAAAAATGTGAAGAGAAAAAATTAATTTGAAAATTGGTTATATAGAAACAAAGTATTTCAAAAAGAATGTGTGCATCAAATAGAGTAATTTTCTTTATTAATGGTATAGATTAAGATATTAGGCTTTCAGAATGTTAGGGTAAGCATGATTCTGTTACTCGCAATGGCATGGTTGCGAGTGTACTTCTTGGCAGACATATTCCTCATGTTGGGACATGTTTGTCTAGAACTCAACTTCATACAATCTAGTGACAATGTCGACAACCTCAATTGAGGGTTATGATGATCTGCCTATCCCCTCAACGTCGATTATCCTTCTTCGAATTTCATGCTCGGCTCCTAGACAATCTTTACGATGGTTGTCTCTTTGTACAAACTATTTGAGATGGTTGACTTATGTGATCGACAGTCTTGTGATATTTGCAATGCTTGTTATGGTTAGCGTTTACATGAGGTCAACTAGGTTTAGGAAGAATAAGTATTTAAGTGTTGAATGCTTCCTCAAACATGGTCCTGCTTGGAGTGGCCAAAGGGGTGTAGTTGTTGTAAGTAAGGATGTTAACGAGGCAAAGCAGATATAGGTAGTAGCTCCACACTATCCTTTTCGTTAGATAAATATCCGCCTTGTACATGTTCCCATATTTGTGAAGGTATTCGTTGAGTGGGTATTCACATATTTTTTCAATATACACGAAGATCCACATCTACCAACGAGTATTTACTAAAAGAATATCTTAAAAATATTTAACAAAATACTTTAACTATACATTTTAGTTATTTGTAACATATTTTTTTTTCTTTTAAAAGTTATAAAAATTTAGATAAAAAAGTTTGAAGAATATGACTAGAATTTAAATAAAATCTGCATATTTTTTTTAAGATTATAAAATTAAAATTCAAAATATATTCTTTACAATTATACAAATAATAATAAGTGAATTTTAAACCTGAATTTTAAATGTTCAATCATATAAGTTCAAAGTTCAAATAATAATTATTAAAATAAAATATTTTAATTACACATAAATCAAAATAAAAAATAATAAGGTACAATACTTAACTATTATAAGTTTAAATAAAATTAAATTCATACAAATTCAAATAAATTGAATATTAACGAGTATGGATATCTGTGGATATGAATACTATGATATCCATATCCTTTATGTTAACATGTGCGTATAAAAAATATTTGTACTCATTGTCTGTAAGTACCTATTTATAATATCTATTTTCTACTTGTTGCGAATTTTATTCATAAATACTCGTGGGTACGAATCTTTTAACATCCCTAGTTATACCTCGATGGTGTAATGAGCTGACAACTTTTGAATTTTCTATCACTGTGAGGGCGTAGCGTATCCGCCTTGTAGAAGTCATCCTTGACTTTGGTTGAAGGTCAAATTTTACGCCAACTCACCTCATGCCCTTCCATTTGGATGAAAGTCTCATATCTTGTTAGCAATTGCGGAGAATCTCTCTATAAAGGCTTGAAGCGATTCATCTCTATTTTGTCTCATGTTGAGTAAAATTGACGTGGAAGTCTCATGGGGTCGATTAGTAGTGAATTGGGCTCTGAATAGTTGCATGAGGACGATGTAAATAGGTACACTGAACATTGGTAATCACGTGTACCATAAAAGTAGGACCTTCAAGAGTTGTGGGAAAATTTTTGCACATAACAGCATCCTCTTGGATATAAATATGCATCCTAGTTTCATATGCACCTAAGTGTTCGTCTAGGTAGATTAGACCGTCATACATTTTCATGATGAGGTATTTCCAAACTCGTGGGAGTCGAGCGTCAATGATAATGTCAATAAATAAGGTGTTTGTGATGTTTATCAATGAGCTGACCAAGGGGGATTTTTGAGGGTGAATGACTCTCCTTGTCATGGTCGAATTCCTAAGTGGTTTGCGTGTCTCGGAATGATCTAAAAGAAGTGTAGTCCTCAGTTAAGAAGATGTTGGTTCTTGAGCGATATAGTTGTTTTGACCTTAGCATAAGGTTTGGTGTTCTTAGTTGTACTGGGTGCGATCAGCCTCGTAGCCTGTGCGTTTGGCTTCGTGTTGTTGGCGATAGGGGTGTGCAAAAAATCCAAATTGATCCGAACCGATCCATAACCGACCCGATTCGTATTGAAAAATACGATTCATTTTGAAAAAAATTCGAACTGAACCACTTTATAAAACCGGTTTAGTTATCCGATCCATTTTTACAAAATGGATCGGTTCAGTTCAGTTTGGTTTGGTTTTTTAAAAAAACTGATCCATATATGAGTAAAAAGTGGATACTTGCACCTACCGAACTGATCTAATTTTAAAAAAAAATCAATTCATATTTAAAAAAAACTAAACTGATCCACTTTATAAAAATGGATCGATTAACCGATCTACTTTTATAAAATAGTTCGATTCAGTTCGGATTTTTCAAAAAACTGATCCATGAACACCCTAGTTGGCGAGAAGCAAACAAGGCTTCCTTATTACATTTTTGCATGGTCTCCGTTGGCTGTAGTTGGTCAGCATTGGATGGTGGGGCAAGCAGGTCCGTGATGGTAAAAGTTACTCTAGGTTCCACAAGTGGGATTACAGTGACTCTTAGGCGAGAGATTGCTATTTAGGGACTGTGAACATCCATATATCCTCAAGGCTACTAATGGTACCTTCACTAGTTTTCCCAACGCTTAGCAAGTGTTCCTCAACACTCATGCATGAAAGCATGTCAATAAAATAACTTCTTATTTAAGTTACGATCCAACAATGTTTTCCACTTAGATTCCTTCTTATTTGGTCATCCATATATCCAACAATGTATATAACTATATATATAGGTTTAGCCCTTCCCGAGGCATTTAGCACAACTATCACTTTATTCTCAAGATCTCACATAATAATAACCCTTATGATTTTCTAATAACTACATTTTTCTTGCTCGCTTTACATTCATTATATGCACCAAATAACTTATATTGATATAATTTTTAAGAAAAATATTAAATGTCATTCTAATCACAAAGGGTATTAAATATTAAAAATTATTTTAATTCTTCACATTCCCTAAATATTTAAACTTTAAATGCTTAAGTTTAATAAGATATTTACTAAACTAGTATGTTTACTCATGCAATGTGTGGAATATTTGATTAAAACACATTTATATGATAATAATTAATAAATATAATAAAACATTTAAATAT